AGCAGTGCGTATGGGTTTTTTGCTGCCCACACCTTTGGGCTGCAACTTAACATCGTCAGGCGCGCAGGGCTGGGGACCCTCGGTGGGGGCTGGTGCTGGGGCTCTGCTCACCCTGCCCACGGTCACAGGTTACCGGCAGCCAATCCCAAATCTAACCCTTACAAAGTTCTGGGCAAGCCGCTTGGAGGAAGGAAGACGCTTTATTTCTGGGAAGAGAAGAAAAATCCAAACAAAGCAAGACAACTCTGGAGCAGCCACGGGGAAAACAGACACCTGCAACCGTGGGACGTGAGGAGACGGGGCCAAGAATGGGATGGGATATTAGTGCTGGCACCGCAGAGGGGGACTGTTTGAAGGAAGCACAAAGAACATTAAACTTTTGTGTTTTTTAAAGGAACAAAGCTGAAATACCTGCTTTGAGTGCCCCAAAAACACCCTGCTCCCCCGCGAGGTTCTTCTGGGCTGGGTTGGCTGCAGCACTGTTGGCTCTTCAAGGCTTTTGGTACTCGTTTGCTGACCTGAAGCCTCAAAATAGTCAAACATAATTCTCCTTAAAGGAAAAACTGCTCCACACCATGCCTAGTATCAGCTGTGGAGTGGTGGGTGTGAGCTCTGGTGGTCACCCCGGTGTGGAGGTGATGGTCCCCGGTGACCCCGTGGAGCCCTCCATGGCCCCACCAGGACCATCTATAGCTCCCCATCGTGGGGAGCATGCCTGGCAGCCTCCCCGTTCCCCAAATAATAGGAATAACAGGAGGGAGGGGACACTGGTGGCCCTGAGCATCCCGAAGGGGAGAAGCAGTGGTGGCTCTCTGAACGATGCCTGCCTCCCTACGGCCCCAGTGCCTGTGCAGGGGGTTACGGTGCTGTGACACCCCAGTTACCCCAGGGAAAGGGGGTGCTGGAAGCACCACGAGCAGATGGGAAGACATCGGTGCTCCCTGGGGCTTCACACGGCAATAGTCAACCTGTGGTCATTGGCTTTAGGTTTTTCTCTTTTTTTTTTATTTTTTTATTCTGTAAACTGATAATAATTTTTTTTTTTTTCACAACAGTGCAAGTAAATACCAAAGTCAGCCCACTGAAAGGGGTCTTCTACAAAGGAAATTTTGAAGCACTTAAGGCAAGATTTATTCATCTCTAGCTTCAATTTAGCATTGAAAAAATATCAGACCTTCAGCTACTGATTCACTTAACAGAATTTATACGGGATTTTTTTTTTTATTTTTATTTTTTGGTTTAGTCTTTCATTTAAAAGATTTACATTACTATGGAAACTGATACTAAGACACATTTGTCTCTGGCTTTCTTTAAAAATCCATTAGTTCCTGTTTGATTTTTAAATGTAAAGGCACACAATAAAGCTTTATGCATTTATTAAAATATACAGATTTTGGTAAATTTAGATTTCTTTTCTTAGTATCTTCATAATATATATATATTATATGTATAGTTGTCAACAACACAATCATTTGAAAATAAAAAACCACTCCATAACATATCTGCATAATTTTTGTCTTTCTTATGACACACTACAAGATCCCATTGTACAATGCACCAATGGGTTTTTGGAAACCACAAAAAAAAAAAAAAGAACAAACTTATTTTAACAAATACACCGATTTCATACCAGAACCGCAGAGAATTGTTACACCAGAAAGTACCATCTGCAAAAAAAAAAAAAAAGCAAGATATACATCAGAAAGACCGAACAAAACAAAGTGAAGATCATTTACAAGCTGGATTTACAACATCCCATGTCGTTCAGGGCGTGATTTCTCTGCCGTGTGGAGGATGCCGGTGTGCTGGGCCTCGTACAGAGTGGTCGTAACTGTGCGGAGTGAATTTGCGGAGGGATTGAGATCTTATAGAGTCGATCTGGAAGGTTTGAGGTATTTATGCTCCGTCCGTATCATGCATTGGGCCTCGCTCCACCTGTGTCCTCCTGATGGGCCAGGGGTGTGAGAACCACCCAGGGGGAAAGGCTAGATTTTGGGGTTACAGCAAAACAAGCACTTGCACCTCCTCCCAGCATCCCAAACCACCAGCGATGCCCAGAGGTGATGGACACACCTCAACGTTTCGGCCTTTGCACCTTTTGCTTGTGCCCATTGACAACCCCAACGGCCGCTACAAGGGAAAGCGCCCAAGCTCCCAAACGGAGGCAGGACGCACGTGTCCCTCAGGTGCAGGGTGGGGGGACCCAGGCAAGCCCCAGTCTGCAGCTTGGCTGCCTTCTTCTTACACGCCAACGTTAGGTGGGATGTGGTGGGCTCAGAAGAACGGCACGGCTCCCACCCACCACCGTGGCGAGGGCTGATGGCAGCCTCTCCGCACCAGATGGTGGCATCAAATGCTATTTCCCGTTGGTCCCGGGGACATGGCACAACCGTCCTGCCCCGGCCCTTCCCCGGGAAGGGGAAGGAGGATGGGTGAGTGGGAACAAGAGCAGCCAAAGGGCTTCACTTTGAGGCATGGATCCAACGGAGCGGTTCCTACAGTTGCCAAAGAGCAAAGGATCAAGACCTTGTCATATGATACGGCATAACTAGAGCGGACATGACAACGGACACTGATACTGGTAACTCCTCTTTAGCAAGAGATTAAGGCTGCAAAAGGAATAACCGGCTTCGATTCGATTGGCTACTTGGGCACGAGTTTGTGGTTAAGCAGATGCCTAAATACTGTGCAGAAGCAGGACAAAGACAACTACCTTGGGTATGGTATAGTACAAGAGCTGGTAGGAAAATAGCATCAGTCTTTCTCCCTGAAAATGTAAAGCCGGACCTGCGAGGTGCCATCTCTCTTGGGTACTTCTAAGGCATCAAGGACGAGAGCAGCCAAGCATGAGTGAGAGGTTACCTTTGCGAGAAGTGCTCAGCCGTGAGAGGTGCACACATTGCAAACAGCTTTTTGGTGGGACACACTCAAGACTTCTGTTTGTAGAAGCGTGGTAGGGGTGGGCAGTGGGAGGGGATGCCAGAGCGAAGCTTACGGGTCCTTTTGCCAAATCCTCACTCCCATCCTGAAGCCCTCGCAGAGGTCAACCTTCCCTTGGCTTGCCCAGGGTGCTCCACGTTAAGGTCTGCAGCATCAGATGCTCTTCTCCACTGGGAAAAGGACTGTAGTTTGTGAACATTTGGGACAGGAGCTGCAGGTGGGAAACTTTTGTAGCCGTGGACTGAGTGTCTCCCTCGAGCCCTTGAGCCCTGGGAGCGATGGGGACAGGTCCAGGTCCAGGGACCTTCTGCACCCAGTAGCCCGCTTGCCCGCAAAGGGTGCCAGGCCAGCTCTGCGCTGTTTTGGCAGGGTGAGCCTCATCCAGCATACCAAAGTGTTAATGCTTCTCAACATCACACATTGGAAGTCCTGCCTTATGCCCCCATTGATGTTAAATTGTCCCCTGGGATGCCAGCAACAGCCCCTGGTACTGGGGACTGGTCTGGTCTGCTCTGGGGGACCCCCAGGGATGGATCCAGCCACAGCCTTCAGCAGCTGAGAGGAGGATGGGTGTCGCTGTCTCACGGGGTGTTTCCTTGGTTATTATTTATTCAAAAAGGTGTTCCTCCATTGCAGTGTTTTAAACCAAGCATGTTGGTGATGGGCTCCAGAACTGGACCTGCTGCTAATCGCTGACTCAGCAATGCAGCTGTTGTCTGTGCTGGGGGAGATGGTGGCTGTGACCAAACCTCATCACTGCCGATGGTGCTGTGGGGACAATGGTGGCAGGGAATCTGGTGGCACTGCTGGGGGTCATGGCTGTGGTGTGGGTTTAACTATGAGAAAAGCCCACCTGCTGATCACCTCTGCCCCGCGAGCCACCAGCTCTGTTTGGTTTCAAATTGAAATATGGACACCTACAGGATGAGCAGCATTTCAGTATTTTTTCATACAGCATCCACCAAGCCAGGGTCAGAAACAGAGAAAATGGTACAAGGTGGAGACGGCAGCAGGGAGGGAGATTTCAGCAGCTGAGTCCTCTCCGTTTGCTACACGTGGCCCAGCTCTGCCAAGATATGGCAGATGGATGTTGCTATTTTGCAGGGGCATTGACATGTCCCTGAAGCACTGAAGCCACAGTGAGCTCTGTGAGGGAATTACAATGTAGTAAGTTTTGTAAAAGACACAACGTGGTGGAAACAGCGCCCAGCCTAAGACCAGCAATGCTCAGAGAAACTGTGTGTGGTTCTTGTTGACCATTCGCACAAGGTGGATTGAGCCAAGAGCAGCTCACAGCCCTCCCTGTGACCAGAAATGAGACCAGACTCCCAACCACAGATTTGGAATGTTTGGCTGTGCTGGGATTTCAAGGTTTGATTGAGACATGGACTAATTTTGAATCCCAGTATTTGCAACGCTTCGATTTGGGGTATGGGGACAGACATGGGGGTCACACTGCTGTGTGCACCGAGTCCCTTTGCACCGGAATGGGCCATGGAGATGCTGTGTGATGGGACCAACATTCCTGGATCCATCTCTGAGCTACTCCCTTGGAAGGGGTTTCTCCATCTCCATTTCATACCTACCTACCCGTCTGTCCCTCTGGCTTAGCTATTACTTCCAGGTGGTTCGAAGAAGAAAACACACATGCTAAGAAAGCGCCAAAAATGTAAGAGTGGCATCCCACTGCTGTGGCTGTCAGGTGGACATTCCCTGGGGACAACTTGTCTCGTCCCCTCACACGGCTTCTTCCACCTCTCAATGCCCTCCCAGTTTGGCACATCTCCCACTCCACCACCTCCGCTGGAGCAGCCGGTGCTGGGACATCAACCGGTGCCGGGGGATCAGCCAGCATTCACCAGAGTGGGACCCAACTAGTGGAGCCTGGACAGGCCACAGGTGTGTTTGGTTCGTGGTCAACGTCAATCACAGAACGTGTCCCGAGGACCAGAGGTGAGCGGGGTGGTGGTGGAGGACCCGGGGAGGATGGGACAGGACAGGGGAGCCATGGGCACCCTTCCTCATGGGCTGGGTGGTGCAGCATCCCGCTGCCCGCCCCACTACTCAGGCGAGTAGTCCAACTCATCGTTGGCGATAAGAGCCTCCGATGGCGGTTTGTGCCTGCCTTTGCTTTTCGACCTGCTACTCGTCCGATGGCTTTCCTTTGCTCCCGCCATTTGCTGGTATGAGAAGCTCTTGTCCTCAGAGGGACCCCAGCCTGGGTAGGCCTCACCCTCGGTGGCGTAGGAGAAGCCGTCATCCACGGAGAAGGGGTCGACGTCCACATCGTAGCGCTGGTAGGTACTCTGGTGAAGGGCCTCCTCCCGGGCACTGATCTCCAGCGTGCTGTTCCACATCCCGTAACCAAAATAGATAAGCAGACCTGTGGGGGGTGAGAGGGAGAGGGTTGGACCCCGGCTGCCCGCACTGGCCCCAAGACCCTGGATAAAACATCACTAAAAACACACCATGCGCCAAAACAGCACCTGCCCCCCAAAACTCACGTCAGGGGTGGGTGCGGGATCCAGCCGGCTCACCGCCAGCATTGTCCCACCCAATGCCAGGCTGGCACCAACTGGTGAGGGTTAAGTATATCTAAATATACCCGTAATTTTTAAGCCAGTGTATTTTGTAGTTGATGTCTGCTCCTCAAATATGTTGAGTTTGTGTTTTTAGGCTGCCAGCTGTGACCCCAGGGCTGTATGTTTTAAACATCAGCTGGGATCGTTGCTGGCCACATGATTGTGCCATCTGCAGCTTTGGTGGGACAGCAGCTCCCAGCAGACGTGTGGAGGCTCCCAAGTGCCGTCAACCCACATCTCCACCCTGTTACCCTCCCAGATATCCTTTTCTCTCTGGAGTTTTCTTACGCACTCAATCTCTCTCCTGCTGGTGCTTGCAGCCACACGTGCCTCAGGGTTGTCAGGATGAGCGTATTTGGTATGAAAACAGCTCTGAAATCCTTTCTTCCTCCCTTCAGGAGTTTCATTGCATCTTCTCCCTCTAGCCCTACCTGATCTCACCCTCCTGCACCACTGCTTTTCCTGGAAGCAAATGTATTTGGAGACCTAATTTCCAGTGGATCCTGGGATTAACCTACCCCAGACATGTACATAGAGGAACCCATACTTCTCCATATGCCGTGGCCTGGCCACGGGGGACTGCTTGTGAGGTTAAATCCAGAGTCTGTGTGGCAGGATCACACACCTCTGCCAGAAAAACAAATAGGATGTGTCCCTTGCAACAGGTGAGCAGCCATGGATGGGGCTGGTGGAGTCCATCACACACTAATGGACTGGTTTAATTGACTCGTTGCCATTGCTAGCAGCTGAAGAAGTACTAGATGTACCCATGGGGGAAGTATTTAACCACAGTGGATTAAATTGATGCTTTGGAGCCACTTTGCTTCCAGATAGAAGGGTATTTCCTGGGTCTGCAGCTTCACCTATTGCCTTTGAGGGCCAAAAAAGCACTGACCATGCCCAAGGGTACATGTGGCAGCTACTGCCCAACGGTTTGGCTTGGGTTTAGGGGACTCTCAGAGATGGAGCTTTGCTATGGGACCTCAGCCTTGCAGGACTGACTCAGGATAGCTGCTGTCCTCACCATGAAGCAAAAGTAGGAATGGTAAAATGGAGGAAAAAAGATGGCAGCAACCTTACCCTGAAGGATGGTAACCGTGAGACTACTCTAAACTGTCTGAGATGCCAAAGAGAGATCCATGTCATCTCCTGGTTCTGCCAACTGAGGTCAAACATCAGGAGGCACCTTAGAAAAGCACCAAGACTGGTGAGCCCAGTGTGGTGGCCTGTGCCTGCCCACCCCTCCTTCAGGAGAGGTGATTCCTGCCTTTATGGGAAGCTGCAGCTGACTGTGACCTTTGCATCAGTCCTCATCCTCTTTCCCCACCGTTTTCTCCCTCTCAACCCAGGACCATGAACCCTGTTCCCAAAGGGGAGGGCTGCTGGTGGGACACTTGGCCAGGGGTGGTCTTTTTGGGTGCTGGCACCATGCTCAGGGTCTGTTGTCTGCAACTGAGGCTCCTGTGGGCTGCTGCAATATGTAAGTTTAAACATAGGGTCATTATTTCTCTGTAAAGAGTCCTTGGCTTTGATATTGTCTTGTTGCTTCAGTTCTCTGTAGTCAAGGCTTGGGAGCCTTCAGGTGGAGCTATGAGAGTTGCTCTTTTCCTCTTGGTTGGTGGAGTAAATGGGTTGCAATATCAGGCAAGGGAAACTATAGACTAAGCTACGTGCCAGGAAGCCTAAATACGGCAAAAAACAGGTCCACAATAGAGCCTGCGAGTCCCGAGATCCCCCTGCCACAAAGTTAAGGACTTAGACCAAAGAAAGGAGATACAGTCCACAGATCCCTTGCCTCTGTCTCTCCCAGGGCTGTTAGGGCTGGGCAGCTCTGGGCTTTGGAAATGCAGTGCTGAGATTTTGGTGTGGGCTGCTGGAGAGCTCGAGTGGGTGAAATAGCAAGAAAGCAGGCGGATTTCTGTAGGAAACCTGCCTGCAAGGCAATTTCCAAAACCCACCTACCTTGCATCAAAAGACTCATCAAAATAGTCACCTTTGCATTGGAGCAGTTTACTTCCATCAAACTGACATTTTCTGGAGGTGTACTTTTCCATTTAGCTGTGGTTCGGGGGCTTGATTAACTGAGGTTTCTAAGAACTTCAGGATGACAAGGGGCAAACACAAAGGACTGGGTATGTCCCAGCTGAAGAAGCATCAGCCTAAGCACCCTAATTAGGGAAGTTATTATTAACATCCTTTCAAAAGAGTGTCAGTTAAAAAATTAAAATAAATGAATCTGGGACTCACCCACAAAACACCAGACGGCAAATCGGATCCACGTGACTGTGGAGAGCTTCAGCATAAGATAGATATTCACCAGCATAGCAAAGGCAGGGACGAAGGGTAGACAAGGTGCCATGTAAGGCAGCTTCTTGGGGTTTTCTGGCTGCTGCAAGATCACAAACACCAGCACGACGATGAGCAGGATCATCAGCACGACGAGGAGGACAGCCCACCAGCTCTGCTCGTAGATGTAGTCTGCCCCGAAAATGATGAAGGAGCAGAAGATGAACATCAGGACGAAGAGCAGGAGCACGCAGGTGGTGACCGTGTGGCCGGTGGCCACCGTGGGGCGGTCCATTTTCCCTGGCAGTCCAAGGTGGATCCGCATCGTGTAGTAGCGAGGGCCAATCAACTTCTTCAGCTTGATGAGGTAGATGTTCTCAGACTCATCTGCCTCTATCCCTGAGGTCATGTCAACCGTGCCATAATTGGGGTGATTCACATTGTAGGTGGATTTATCGGATTTCCCAATTAGCATCTCGTTATCCCCCAGCGATGGCAGATTTTTTGCCCCACATGTGTTGGTTGGTGGGCCAGAAAACTCTTCCCCTTCGCTCCCCGGGGAGCAAGCTTCCTTCTCGCAGTCAGCCAGGATGCCCTCCTTCTTCTTGGTGTGCTCCTCAGAGAGGAATTTGACGAAGCCATCGATGTCGCTCTCGGGCTGGTATCGGAGGAGCAGGACGCAAACGGAGACGAGCGTGTAGGCGAGCAACGTGCCGATGGACATCATTTCTATCAGGTCCCGCAGGCTGACCAGCAAGGAGAGCAATGCTGCGAGGAATCCGGAGACGATACAAGCCACTACAGGAGTTTCCGTGTAAGAACTGACGTGGGACAAAAATCTGGAGTGCGAAACAGTTGCAGAAAGTTAAAATTGCAGAACACAGCGGTTCTCTGCTGCGATAACCCTTGCCTGGCTGGAGGGACCAGGCTCAGAGCTGTGAACCCTTCAGCTCTTACTGCCTTTTGGACCTCAGACTCCAGACAGAGACTGGAAATACTGCTGAGGCTGGATCTGGAGCTAGACCTGGGTCTAACCAGCTCTGTGCAATCTGAAATGAGGACTGGGGCACTTGCAAATAAGTGCCAAAATTTTATGCATTTAAGCTGCTCTCCTTTGCAAGTAACTCTTGAATTAAAGGCTCATCCTCCCCTAAGCTGAATTTCTAGGTACCAGCACCAAATGAGAAACTTTTGCGTAGCTCCCTCCTGATTTTTCCCCCAGGGTTTTGCTTTAGTGTGTGCCCCGTTCTGCAAGCACCGAGCCCGTGCGTGCCCTGTGCTCCCTGCGGTGGGCTGTCTGGATGCAGGAGAAGTCCCCGTCTGCCCCCTTGCCACACTTCCCCTCCAGGTCCCAAGGGTGCAAAAATAAATGCCATCATGGGCATGACTGACCTGAAGAGCAGCCCGTCACCAGCCATGGCGTAAATGACTCTCGGCATGGGGAAGAGGGAGCCCAGCAAGCTGACGGTCAGTCCGGCCACGGACCCGATGGCAACGATGAACTTGGCTGCGTAGAAGCCATGGGCCACAAACATTTCCATCAGTGGGGACTCCGTGTCGATGGCATCGTACGGCACCATCAGTGTGAGGATGATGCTCACCTGAGGAAGGCGAGAGGAGCAGGACATGGGTGTCAGCTGGGGACTCGCAGGGGCTGCTTCTCAAGGGTGGAAAGCCAAAAAATTTCAAGTCTGTTTCAAGTCTGATTTGAATTATGTCCCTATGTCACAGAATCACAGAATGTCCTCTGTGTAGGGGATGTAAGATGCTAGAGGTAAGGCCTTTGAGGGCAATGAGGTGACATCTTGAACCTCGCTGCGGTGGTGATGCAGGAGGCTGGTGGGACTGGGTGGGGTTAGTAACACTCACATTGGCCATGTTCTTGTGTGGGGACAGCGCTGTCCGAGTCATGCACTCCCCATGGGACAGACCCAAAACCCAAGATGGCTTTGCTTGGGGCAACATTCTGATCCGATTTGAGCCAAAGAGAAATTGGTTTTGAGGGAAGCCAACCATGCTGCAGGACAGCCAGTGAGTGAGTTTCTTTGCAAATTATCAGAACAATATTTTTTCTCCTTCATGACTTGATTTTGCTCTTTTACAGGGAAAATCCCTGACTACAGACATGCATTTCCTGGGGTGCAGAGCATCTCCCGCATCTCTGTCAGAGGCAGTGCTGCTTTTCCCCAAAACATGGAGAAAGGTTGCTGCAATGCTGCTGCTCCTTCAGCTTTGCACTTCTGGATGCAAAAATAGGTGTGGATAGGGACGAAGTATTGGGAAAAAAAAGGCTGCCACCATCTCCCTGCAGCCATCAGAGGGATCTCAGCAGGGTGACAGGAGCCTGGGGGCAAAGCGGGCTGGGGCCGAGGGGAACCTCAGCAGGACACTGCAGTCACAGGGAAACACAGCTGATGTCTCAGCTCCCACCAAAGAAAGGGCCCTTGTCTGAGGGTCAGACTGGGACCCTGGCTCATGGGGAGGGGAGCCACACAGATGCCCAGAAGGGACCCCCTATATATATATATTTATATGTGTATATATATGCATATATATCTATTTACATACATTGACATATGTATAGCTAGTACTTACGGACACATATGCTGTCAAGCACGCGACAAGCGAGGCTGTGATGGCGTAGGGGATGGAGGTGTTGGGACTCTTCGCTTCTTCTCCCGTGGTAGCGATGATGTCGAAGCCGATGAAGGCATAGAAACACGTCGCAGCCCCTTTGAGCACCTGTGTGGAGGACCGAGTGTCTCAGTGCCAGGAGGGACGCTGGCACCCAACCAGGCAGAGGGAACTCAGCAAAAATGAAGGTGCCCAGTCCTGCCTTGTCTGAGCTAAAGGGTGAGTGGGGCAGATCAAGGGGTGCACAGGTTGAGTTGGGTGTTTCCATCTGGGGACTGACCCTGGGAACACCCATAACCCAGTGATCTGGTCTAGGGAAAAGATTTCAACGTGCAGCCTGAGGCACTGGAGGCATCTGCAGCTCACTCGTGGTGCACCGCAAACCTGTGCCTGCGCAGTGCCTGAATCTGCTGGGACATCCTGGCAGCGACAGAAGAGACAATTAACCAATTTCAGGTTTGCTTTCACAATACTCCACCCCAAATCCGTTTATATTAGCAGGGATTTGTAGCATGTTTACATGTTCCATCTTAGCAAGATGTCTCCTGTGGCAGCAAGATCCGCTAGCAGAGGAAGCCGAAGAGAGCAGCAACAGTCAGATGTGCGCCGCTTTCCAAACACTGTTTTCCTTGGAAGCCGCAGACAGGTTGGGAGCACACATTGGAGCACTTGGATGAGGAATTATTTGTACTGTTTAGTTATTTTTAATGTGATTTTTTTTTATATAAATATACAGTATTAGCAAGGACATTTATAGGATTGAAACGCTGAAGCAGGCTAAAGATTGTGTGGCTGGGAGTGAGCTAATTTGGAGTTGTAAAACCCTCGCATACATCTCGCTAGCTAGCTAGGTACCACGTGTCCATCACATCTCTGTCATCTCAGCTGTCTAGTGACAGAGCAGACAGTAATATTCAACTATTTCAGGGTGAATACATATAATTACCTTTCTTAAGTATCCCCTGTGCTCCTGGGGATCTCATGCTTGTGCTGTGGTGGATTTACTTTAACAAACGATTTGGGAGGCAACCAACTAGCTGAAAATGATGGGAGGACCCTATTGATTTTGATGTGCTTCAGATATGTATCTTTTAAAATTCTGTATTTTTGCCAGGAGTTATTCAGGGGGTTGAGTTAGATCAAAACAGCTATTTTCCATTTTCTCTTTCTCATTCCTATTGTATGGCATAAAAAGCCATAAAAAGCACAATCCAAAGGTAAATATGACCTCTGCTCTCAAATGGGCCTCAGTGCTCTTCTCCTCACTGTTGTTCTCTGGCAGAGAGGTATTGATTTACTGAAGGGAGGTGCAGGGTCTGTATAGGAGCTTGGGACGCTTTCAGTAATCAAGATTCTTGGTTTACTTTACTTTATTGCTTATTTTTCTGCACAAAACTCCAATGGAGTCGAGCAGTGTAAATCTGAGAAATTATCTTGGGTTTAGGCCAGCTGAGATATTTTCAGTCTCTGTTCATCCTTGGATAAAAACCAGTGCAAGCAAGCTAAAAAAGCCAAATATGTCCAAATTCTCAGTAAGCTTTGAGGGAACATCCATAAAATAAGTACTGGCAGGTGGCATTATGAAGTGCTCAAAACAAATGCTTGAGAACATTGTTGTTGACAACCAGCCAACACAAGTATCTCCCCCTCCGCAGAGGCTGAGCCAGCTCCTCCTGAGCGCCCTGTCTCAGATGGCCACTGCATTTTGCTCCATCGCCTGGAAATTAGTGGCATTTCCTGGGATATGCTTTCACCTGGAGTTTGGGTCTCCAGGTGGACGTTTTGGAAAAGTTCTGGGTTTATTCTAAGAGGTGTCAGGAAGTACAGGCAAAGTATTGCCCGTCCTCTTTGGGTTTGGTGGAGCGAGGAGGTCTGGATCCAAGCCCACAGCACTGGAAGTTGAAGGTCCCTGGCCAAAGCGCAGGTGGGTTTAGCAGGGTCAAGATTTGGGCAGTGCAGTGGACGTGGGGTATGGGCACCATGAGTGAAGCTGAGTGTGTGGCAGGTGGGTGGCACTGCTGAGGGGTTTTTTGTCCCTCTGTGTGCCCAGGACTTACCCCTGGCCATCCAAATGGCAGGAATTGCCCTTCAGACCAGTTGTCACCTTTGACATAGAAGAGACCAGCAATCATGATGAAGATCCAGACTGCCAGGTTAATGACATTGAGCACGTTGTTCAGCCCCACTGAGTTCTTCACCCCCATGGCCACGATGATGGTGACAATGACAGCAATGACCAGAGCAAGAAGGTCAGGGTACGACTCCTCTCCTTTCCCTAGAGAAGAGAAAAGAGCCATGTAACTCTCCATCCATATCTGTGGACAGCATCGCCAGAAACTCTGTGGGGGCTTTTTAAAACACTTTTCAGGCCCTGAGGCTTTGCAGAACTCCTTGGTCTCATTGCAAAGGTGGTCGCCAGATGCCTCTGCCTCAGCCTCTGCTAGCTGAAGTTGTTTTATTAAGGTGGTAAATCTTCATGCCGCAAGACATTATGAGGAGTTTTGGGAGGGCAGCAAACAAATGATCAGGTCCCAGTTTGCACAACATCTGCCAAATACTAATTAAAAATCGATCAAACATTAAGTTTCCATGGCACAGGTACAAGACAGCTAGCTGTTTTACTTACTGGTAGGAACCAGGGACTGTTGCTGGAACTGCTGGTCATACAGGACCACAACAGCCCTGAGTTTCTACATGGCAGTACTGCAGACACCAGCTTGCACTCTCTAAGAAGGCTCTGCGTGTGCCTTAACGGGAAGGAGCAGAGTGAGGTGCTCCTGCACCGTCATTAGCCTCTGACATTTGTCTGATTTTTCTGGGTGCTTATTCTGCTTATTTGAGCTCATCCCAAAGGGGCTCAAAGTGCTGTGTATCCCACTCCCCAGAACTCTGTCTGTGAACCAGACTGCAAAGGCAAAGTCCCAGAGGCAGACGGATGCTGAATAATGAATGAAGCCTAATAGCCGTGTCTGACTTCTGATGAGCTTCCAATTACTTTTCGGGCCCTAATTAAGGCAGGTAGCTATGCACGGCGTGACGCACCTAGTCCGTTCAACGTCCCGACGCTGTTGATCATCCAGCGGCTGATGGTGTGGTTGGCCAGCGAGTCGAACATGCTGCTGAGGGCGCTGGCGCCCGCGGCCGTGCCGATCAGGTACTCCAGGATGAGGTTCCAGCCGATGAAGAACGCCACAAACTCCCCCACCGTCACGTAGCTGTAGGTGTAGGCAGAGCCTGTGGTCTTGGGGACCCGCACGCCAAACTCAGCATAGCAAACGCCTGTTTGGAAAAATATGAAGCAACATAAGGAAAATGTGCTCGGAAAAGGAAAAAGTAAATTGCATTGGTCCCACCCACTTGGGGGTGCCAGGAGGTGCCCAGTGCTGTAATCAGCAGCAGGAGGAGCCCAGAGACATCGCAGGGGCTCATGGTGACCCTCCTTCCCCAATCGCTTGCCTTAAAAAGCAGCCCGTTCTCCTATTAAAATCAAGCTGTGAGGGATTATTTTTATTTTTGAGGATGCACAGTTCAAACTAGCCAAACCTTTACAGCCCCTTGTAGAAAAGCCTTCTCACATGTGTGTGCCCCTGATGTGGGACCCTCTGGCATGGCCAACTGCAGCTCCCCCAGACACAAAACCAAAGCTGAGGGGGAATTCATGCACAGGGAGCAGAACTGGGCAGCGCTGGTGGTGCGGTCCTTGGAGCCCTGTTTCCCTGCAGTAGCTTTGACGGTGAGAGATAGCTCTTCTTCCCCATTCAACAGTGACGCCATAATATGATTTTTCCCATTTTTCCGGGGATTTTATCAAAAGTTTTGTTTGCAGTGTCAATATTCTGACAAGTTCCCAGCGCTTTTGGCTGCGGAAACCGTCATAACCCTGGGGTTTGCCAGAGAAAGGTGGTTACACTGAGACCTGCCAGAGGACAGTGTTTGGGTTTCTCCAAAGCACTGTGGGCTTCAAGGAGGTCAGGGATGGTTCTAGCCATTGAATGGGATCCTGGACCAGTGTTGCCCAGCCCCATCCTAGAACAAGATGACACAGGAGGGCTCACACAAGGCTACGCCTCTCCCTGCCCCGATGGCGCAATCTCCAAACGCTTATCTTGAGTTTTCGCTGTCCCAATCCAGGCACAAACACTGTCCTGACCATCCCTGCTTTCCTTCGTACCCACGCAAGAGGAGTTTGAAGCCATCTTACATAGAGAACGTAAGTTATTTTAACACTTAAAAATGTTACATATAAGTCTCATTCTGAAGAATAATTGCAAAACTAACTCTGTAGAAGGAGAAAAGAAAAGCAAAAAGAATTATTTAGCTGAAACTGTTTGGGAGGAGACTTCAGTGGACTTTAATACTTTCCGAACTCCTTGTGTGCTTACTGTGTCAGGATACTTTTCAGTAAAAACCTGACCTTGACACATTGCTGTCTTGAAACAACCATTAGCTTTTATTTAAAAGGAATGGATGGACTTAGTCATAAGTTCCCCAAATATTAGTCAGAACAAGTGCTGGAAGACCACACTGCATCCTGCATCTTTTACACTGATTAAGCCCCTGCCCCGAAGACCCCAGTTCAGCTCATACAGGTTAATGGGTTAGGGATGTTACTACCATTGTGTAAACATTTAGTAATTATTAAGTTCTTTATCAACTACTTTCCTCGATTTAGAAGATAATAATTGCTTCAAAATTGCAATCAGTTCAGTACAGAGAGAGGAATGAATAATTTATAAAAACGTTATGAAGCCGCTGCTCTTACTGTAAGTGCAGTTTTTTACACAGTACAAACACAGAGTTATTGAATCCCTGAGCTGAATTTGGTGGTGGTTCTTTTATTGGTATTGGAGGATTTTGGTATTCCATTCACTGTTTAACTCGCATGCACGATGCTGGCAGTGCTTTTCAATGGGACTCTTCAAAACTTGATTTCCGTAAAGCAAGCCCAACCGCAGGAGCAGCGAGACATCCCCATCATCCAGCCCTACAGACAGTCATTATTCAAAGCTGATGAAAAATGCATACGGTCGGCAAAGGTAAGACATTCACAGATAACAACAGGCCTGAATGATTTATGAAACAGGTGCTCTGATGGGGACAAGTATCTAGTTTCTCTCTTTGATGGCCTTAAAAATCATATAACCTTTCTTGGAGGCATCTCTACTTTTAGCCAAGGACAAGATAAGGCTTAAACAGGATTGTTATTGATACAGAATGGTAACAGCAAAGCAAAGATATCAGTATGTATAAGATATTTAAGTTTTCAATTACTCTACGAGGATCCCAAAATAGAAGAGTAATCTTTCATTACGCGTTGCATACAGCGATGGATATCTGCATTAGGTATCAGCATATGTTAAGAAAATAAACTTTTTTATCATAGCGTGCAGTATCCAGTCCAAGGGACATGAGATGCAAGATCTGCTGCCCAACCCTGATTGCCACATGCTATATCAGATGGCATTAATCAAATCACTTTGCTTTGCAGTGCTGCAGGTGCTCCATCAGAAACGGGGTTCACAGCACTTCCCTCTCCGCTTAAAAAGGAAGATAATATCATAATTTATTAGAGTGCAGACCTTATCTTACTAATCTCTGCTGCATCAGTAGTATATTATTATTATTGTTGTTGTTGTTGTTGTTATTATTATTACTGCAATACAACCGCATAATAAAACCGTGTTACTCAGTTACACCTTGGCAGCCCCAGCCATTCCCCGGTACCCGGAGAGACGCAGCTCTCCCGGTGCCCCCGCTCCAGCCCAGCTCCAGGAGTGCAGGTGGAGGATGGGCACACTCTACCCACCACAACTCTGAATTTGGTGCCAGGTTTTGTTTTTTCCCCTCAAGCAAGAGCGATTGCAAGTTTCTGCAGAAAACAAGCCAAGGCAGTGGTGGTTTGGAAGAGCAACCTTTTTACAGAAGACTGGTTTTTTTCCTTGAATATTAGCTATGCTGTGTAATTGGTGTGGCAGTCGTTACGGTGGTGTAATTATATAGGTATTGACATTATTCAGAAGGACATAAATACAGCTGACTGGTTTGGTCCATCCCATTGTCCCTTCCAAGATCCCACCTACAAAACTCCATTTTCCAGATTTAATTGCCCTCTCCATTCTCTGGTTTATCTTTTTTTGGGGGGTAGGAGGCGAGGCAGTCGCAGCTTTCCATACAGCACGTGCATACGGGTTAGACGTTTTTGTGTTAGCTGTGGCTTGGGGTAACGCTGGGCATCCTGACCTGCCTGGTGGGGACCTTTGCTGGTGAGCGGTGCCTCGGCGGAGCAGGGGTTGGGACCATGAAGTCCCCACTGGCTTCAACCCCAAACCCCAGTGCTGCAACAGCCGCTGGGCAGCACAACCGGTGGTACAAGGGGCCGGTCCAAGCGCCACAGTTCAGTGGCACAGCCCTCTTGGCTGCTGCCTTGCTTTCGGTGTGCCAGGGTGGTGGTGGCCACAGTGTGGATGCTGACCCTCCCACTGCCACCTGGCATGAGGACACACATGGATCAACGAGACATCCCATGGGGCACCGGCACGATGGGAGTGATGTTGCAGGTGAAACAAGTCTTTGGGGAGGGACCTTTCAGCAGCGCTGGAGGTAACACCAATTAATTCATGCTGCTGTGCAAGAAATCCAGAAGGACCATCCTTCGTTAAGCAAGAGCAACCAATTTATCTAGGCAGGTATACAGCAAAATCCTATTTTCATCAAGCCACTGAGCCTGGCCATTGTCTTTAATCGTCACCATGTGCAGATATATAAAAGGCAGCTCCATAAAGATAGTTTCCTTAGAAAAAGGACTCCTGTTTTTCCAGCACGGCCCAAGCAGCTCATGATCAACTGCAGCTGGAGCCCCTCATCCCGGCCCTTGTCCTGCAGCCAGGCAGCACCTGAGACACATGCTCGGCTCTCCCCTGCTCCATCGTGCTCTCTGGCTGTCGCTGAGCCTGCTCCCACATTGGTATCAGGTAAGAGCATGGCAATGTTCTCCAAAACGGTGTGGCCTGGTGCTTGAAACCCCCATCAAGGGTTGCAGAGCAGTTCCCGGTGGAGAGAGTCTCTTCTTTTCTTGCACAGCCTGGCACCGAAGCCTGTGGGGTCGTGTGGCAGAGAAAACTCTCCCACACTGGTAACCATCATGGGGGAGGACCTGAACCTTGCCTGAGCTCGCAGTAAGGAGTTTGCAAAACGTGATCAACAAACTTGTATTATTTTAGGAAAGGAGAACCACTAAAGGGATGAGCAACAGCTGACAGAAAAGGCTGTGGAGTGGGTAATGGAGTTGGGTAAGACGCAAATTGCTGATTTTTGCCAAGAAGGGGTTTTGGTTAGGGATGGGGGTGAGAGTGGGGAATCCCGGTGGTTGCAGCTGATGGAGGGAGCCTGCGGTGTCCCCTGCACTGGAGGCTTTGTGGAGGAAAGTTGGGCAAATGTTTCTGTTTGAGAGCTGAACAAAAGGCCTTCCAGTGAGAGAATGAAAGAGATTGATTTAATTTATCAGTTTAATCAATGACACTGTGTCTGTAAGCGCCCTGATGGGGCACATTTTGCTTAAACCTAGAAGAAGGTATAACTGGAATTTGTGAGGCAGAAGAAATTGGGAAAAAAAATCCCTGTCTGAAACCGGGCTAAACAGTGCAGAGGGATTTAGGGATTTCCCACCTGCCCAGGAACCTGCCCAGCGGGGCTTCCCTGCCGCTGTCACCCAGCGGAGCTGAGTGGCTTTCTGGAAGCAGCTTTTTTAGCCAAAACCCTCCTGGGCTTACTTTACAGGCAGTAGGATCTGACTCGGTGATACCATCAAGGGAAAGTGGGTGATCTCGTGGTCCCATCCGGCCTTAAAACTGTGAGAAACTCCTTAAAATCTGTCTGTGCGCACTTGCCCGAGCTCAATGCCCGGTAGACTGGGAGTGACCGTGATGCAAGAACTGAAATCACTTCCCCTGTGAGCCCGATATCCCGTCTGGCTCCTGAACCCTTGCTTGGTTCTACTTGCCAAAAACGTGTTGCTGTTATAAACAACCGCAGCGTCAATGATGAAGGGAGGAAGCGGCCAAGGAAGCTATCAAAACACTGCGTCCTTCGCAAAATGCTTTCCCAGGGCTACAAAAGCAAGCGGAGATGAAAGCTGAGCGGGAAGCGGTGTGGGCTCCCATGGGCGAAGGCGGGAGGAGCTCCCTGCTGCGGGGCAGGGCTCGCGTCTGGGGTGAAAAAAGCGCCTTTTGGAGGACAGCGTGTTTTTGTTAGATGAGACCCACCCAAGCTCCGTTTGCTCTCGGTTTGCATCACGGCCAGCAAAACCCTTGCACAGGAGAGAAAGAGGGCAGTGGGAAAGGATAAAGACAGTGATGCTATCTACTGCCTTGGTTAAAAAATGGGCATTTTGGTTGATTTGTTGTGTTGGGATCTCAAATAAGCATCAGCTCTTGTTCTGGGCTGAACCAGTGCTAAATGTGTCTGAGCTGCCTTGTCACTGGGGTTCAACTGGGGAGCGGGGAGGTGGGACTGTCAGTGTGGTGGTCACCCGCCAGCATCACTGGGGTATTTCGCGGGCATGACTTTGGGGAGAGCATGATACTCGTCCCCGTCCTGTGCCAGGGTTGTGCCTCTGGGCTGCAGGCATGGAGGGGGTTCAAACTCACATGGAATTTGGTGGCATCTCCATGGAGCAGCACCGCAGCCTCCAGAGAAAGAGCATGGTGTTCTTCTACCTCCCCCTACAAAAATCCAGGGACTTGAAAAGCTGAGCCAGGTCATTTTGCTGTGTTTGC